CCAGCCTTAGTTTTGGCCTTCTGGACAAAACTTCGGCTTAGGTGCAGCTTCTTAGCCACATCCCTAACGGAGGCGTTCGGATTTCGGTTGAAGGCCCCAACTACGCGGTTGTGATTTTTGGTGTTGTACGGAATACTTTTTCCTTCATTTCTGGGCTTCCGATCGGTGGTCAACCGTTCCTCGAACCGCTTAATCACTCGCGACACCGTGGAATTCGCGATTCCAACGTTTTAGCGATGGAACGATGCGAGAGATCCTTGTTCTCGTGATGAATGCGCAAGATTTTATCACGCACGAGCTGTTCTTTCGACTCCATTTCCGCGAGTTTTGATCACAGGACTTTAAAACTTGCAGGATGTAAATAATGCACTATGAACTAAATCCACCCAAATTTTCATTAAATTCTACCCAACGGTTAAAAAGTTAGAGCAATTTCATAGTGTGGCAATTTCATCGTGGACACCCTTTATAAGCCACCATAGGAACACATTGCGCTAAAGTACCTCCACTATTGGTGCATTTACTAAACATAAATTGTACAAATTAATATTAAACAACCTATGTGCATCTGTTCTGCTGTAATATTCAATAACTGTTTTTGCTGTGCCGACCTAGGGGAAGGACAGGTCCAAGTATCAGCATCAATATCGATGGTGAAAATATTAAATATTATAATATGTGTGATATTTGCGAATCTTATACTTAGTCTGACAGTTGTTTTTTTGTTTTTGACTATTTTTGGTTTGAAGTGTACTTTTGACATTCGTTTGATAAAAAATGGATTTCACACCAGATGCAAGTCATTCTTTGATGATCTTGCTGGCCACTGCCACCAAAATCCGCTCCTTGTTCTAAAAAAATCGGCATTATTTGTTAGTTGATCTCAGTGCAAATAATCGGTCGCACTTCTGTCCCAGAAAATAGTCATTAATTTCCACGAATTCTCCATCGTCTGCGAACCAATGTGCTGTCCTCCCATGGAACGGGAATCGACTGACAACGCCTCCCCTGTAAACGTAGTCCCAGAGTGATGGTTCCGTGGTCGTATTACACTCGATTTGCCATGAGCATGCAACTGGCAAAATTTGCTGCTGGGGGAACGTCCAGTACCGTTTTTATCATGAAAAGTCGAAGTCGAAATCGATCAGAGCTATCGAAAACGAAAATCTAGGCAAAAATGAAAGCTGCAGTAAACATAAACAACAACAGTGAAACGTCATTGAGTGTATGCGTTAAAGCTACACTGTTATTTTTTTACTTTGAAGCTGTCCGCTTGACAGATAATATCATTAATATTTATCTGGGGGCAAGACAGCTTTTGATCATGAGTGAAATTTGAGTTACTTTTGAGCAACTCTGAGTAACTCGAGTTGCTCAACAAGCGATGCACGGTAACACAGCAACCTTGTTGCGTTTATTCCCCAAATGTCAAAGGAAGACCCATTGTCGAAAAGTGAATCCTGATGAATGTGGGCTTCTAAGTGAAATAGCTGTATAAATAAAGAGAGAAAATGGTGGTTTACATTGGATAATCATCCATAGCTAGATCCCATGACCTTCCTACTACTTCGTGCCAATCATTTGTAACCCGTTTTCATTCAAATCTTTTTTTTTATTATTATTATAGTCACTTTAACGCTCTTGTATCATTCGTGACTTGACCGGGGGTGAGATTCGAACTCGTGACTTTGGCGTGAGAGGTATGAATGCTAACCACTACGCCGGCGTCGCCCCCCATTCATTCAAATCTATTGCAGGCTGTTATGGGTCGACGTTGACCATAGCATTTGCAAATTTTAAAATATGATAGATTTGGTTAAATTGACCACAGTTTTAATATTCGAAAGGCATCAAAGTTACGACTACTACTTTGAAATAGTATTCTCTTTTGTCTGAATGCCCAAGAATTAGTGCAGAACTTTAAGGCAGTAACCTCATAGTTCTGCACTAATACTTGCACAGCAAAAAAATGTAATATCGATCAATGTAATTCAAGCTGATCTATGAAAAAATGATGTAATAGCAAAAAGCAGATACAATTTTACATCAATGGATGTAATTTTGTTCGCAAAACCGATGTACATCGTACATCTTTTTATTACACAACCGATGGATTGACCTGGTTGCAGCAGTTTGGATGTAAAATTCAACAACTTTTTTTTTCTGTGGGCATTCAGAGAAGTATAGAAAAATAATCCATTTGGTTGGTGGTTGCCATGATTTTCAGAAAAAATAACTACAAGCATTTCTTATTGCCACTAGGTTCGACCCGAGATTAATAGAAAGCAATTAATTGTCATCGTATAGCCTAATTTAAAATTTTAAGTTTCCATAAAACCAAATCAAGCTCCCATCCATCTTGAATTCTCAACTTATTCATTCCTATTTGAGATGATGAAATTTGCAATTGTAGATGTGCAGAACCTCTGATTTGCCAAAGCACATGAAGGCCTCATAAATTACGTCTAGCTGGGTGATACGGATACATTTTTCATGTTAGGCCATCTTCGGATATGGCATTTTTTACCTTATTTCCCTTCATAGCAAAATTCTTAGATTTCATGCTGTGAATGAATTCAAGTGATTCAATAAGGATTTGTATCAAGAATATAATAAAATAATTTTGATTCTCCTCCTCCTCTGACACATAATGTTTATTCACACTGTGGTTTGTATTTGTTGATGAATATACATAAGGTCAGACTACTTTGATCATTCTTGAGTAATTATGAGTTACTCAAATTTACTCGGAGCAAAAATATTTACTTGGAGTACAGCTGGCTTGCCCCTAGATATTTATACTAAAAATATTAATAATAATTACCAATTTGAGCAATTTTTACACCAAATATTACTGCAGATCAAGTTTTACTTCCCCTAGGTGCCGACTTATAAGTACCAACGCCCAAGTTTGAACAATCGAAAATAACATAAATCAATAAGTACATAAAAGGGATTCCAGATGGATCAATAGATAAAATAATAATGTGTATAATTTGTATGCACCTGGAATTTTTTTTTCATCCGACCTGAAAAAACCTGGAAAACTCAGGGAATTTGATTCCTTGGATTGAGTAGACACCCTGAATGTGAACGGGGTATTAGCTGCCAACACTGTCTGGTTAATCGTCCGCCTACGTTCAAGAGTTTCAAGTTGCCAACGATCCTCGTAGGGTGGAAGGTTCGTTGGATCATTCCAAGGAAGGTACCGAAAATCATAACAAACAAATTTCCTCTGAACAAATTCAATCCTCGCTTGATACGGACACCATACTCCGAGAAGTCTAGCAACATTTGGGTAGAATCCACCCAGGTCGCTCAAAACCTAACCTACGCAACAATGGGAAAACTTGCTATCACGGCATCCATCGAGTTAGCCTTGGAAGACCGATTCGTTTGGAGCTAAGAGGAAGAGGTGACAATTGGCTTCTTCCTCTTTTATTTCTATCTCTATCTTTATCTAACTCTATCTCTATCTTACGCACATGAAATCGGCCAAGCTGGTTCACGTTTAACAGAAAAGTGGTTCATTTTCGCCCCCGTATTGTCACCTCTTCTCTTATACCCCATTCACATTACAGTCTGTATCACGTAATATAGGCTGTCTTGCAATGAGCACTCATACATAGGATTTCCAGTGAAAACTAGATGTATGAGTGCTCATTGCAAGACAGCGTATATCACGTGATATACGCTGTAATGTGAACGGGGTATTAGGTTTGGAGAAGAAAAATCTAGACCAACAATTGAAATAGGCGGAACAACCAAACGTAAACAATGGCAATAAACACAAAATTCTCGAGAATCAAAACAGTCCCACACAAACCAACAATGCCATTTGATAAAGGAAGTTTGTTCTATCAGATGATGGTATTAGATTGCTTGAATGTGCTTTGATTCTCGAGGAATTTGCGTTTAAAGCCATTGTTTACGTTTGGTTGTTCCGCCTATTTCAATTGTTGGTCTAGAAATAATGTTCATTCCTGTATTCTTCGATGCAATCGGTGTAAATATTTACATTATTTGACAAATCTCAGGTAATCATGACAGCCGTAGGTTTCTTTTCTTCATTCAAATTGTTTTCAATAATCAAACGTCATGATTACCTGGGTTTTGTCAAATAAGGTAAGTATGCCCATTGCTTGCACCAAAGAATTAGCCCGTGACAGAAATAGACGTAATTTAGATAGTTTCTAGAGACATTCACTTTTACGAAAAATATCAAAACTATGTTGGAAGCGAGGGGGACGACTCTATCTACGATGCAGGAAAGATTGTGTTTTGCTGTGGCTAGCTGGGTGCATGCTGAATAGAGTTCTCTACCACCGTTAGTATTCGTGAGCAGTTTCACTAATACAAGCGTTTTACTGGTTGAAAATAAAAAACAAACCGCTGTCAAGTCGAACACTTTGACAGCTGATTTCGTGGTTGAAAATAATAAACAAATCGATTTTACACGGCTACACTAGCAACGTTGTATTGGTGAAATCTTGCGGCAAGAAGTCAATAGATAGAAAGAAGATTAATGACGATTATGCAGATTTCCTGAAAAAAGATGCAAGTAGATGCGAGAACTGAAAGAAGAGTTTTCGAAGATTGATTCGCTAGTGTGAAATTTTTTCAGCATCTTGTATTGAGATTTAGATGTGTCACCCCCCTCGGTTGGAAGTGACAAGTTCACAAACGGACAACATCGACATGAATCTGATCAACGTTGTTCATTTGTCAATTCAAATCACTCCCCACATAGTTTACCCATTTTTGGGTAGGTTCAGTTTCGACCAGATCGGTCGATTCTACTCAAATTTGGGTAGTTCAGAAAAAGCGTGTGATTTAAGATTGTCAAAACTAATGAGCCGGACTCCGGAAAAATTCCATCCAACTTCAGAAACATCTCAGGATCGTTCCTGATTCCAATCAGGATCGTTCCAATCCAAAAGAACATTTTAGAACCCGAATTTCACAACATTCAACACCATCCCCTTCTCTCCTTCTTCCAGAGTTTCAACGGCCAGTAGAAAAATAGTACAAACCATGTCCTCCTCGGAGCAACATCATCCGCTGGCACCGATCCAATCGTCCTCGCTAGTAATCCCATCGCAGCAGTTCGGTGCCCTGCAGACGGTGACCATGATGGACAACAGTGCCCTCCTATCGCTGAAATCGGCTACGATCTCCACCGCCAACGGTCCAGCGCCCTATGCGAACGGCGAATCTACCGCTATCGTCGGAGACAAATATCACTACCAACTGCCACTGGAGAAAGCAGCACACGCCGCCAAACAGCAAATGATCCTGCAGGAGTTCCTTAACAGTCAGCAGGCGTCCTTCGCGCATCATCGTCTTCTGCCACCCCCCTCGAACGGCAGTTCCTGCATGACGATACTGAGCAGCCACCCGACTGCTCCCGGCGTGCTCAACCACTTTCGTGAGCCACAGCAACTGATCGGAACCGAACTCGGTGGTGATGTGCCTGGTCTCTGCACCGACATCGAACCGGATTCAACGACGTCCTCGCTGGGGCAACTTCCGGTGACGCCGGAGAAGAACAGCACAAAGTTCAAACTACAGGAGGATGTCCTGGTGGAGCACAAAGACGGCCGGTTCTATCTGGGAACGGTAATAGCCATCGGCAATTGCCAGTGCCTGGTGCGGTTCAACGATAATACCGAGTGTTGGTCGGATTTCCGGGAACTGACCAAGCTGAGCGGCGGTGGTGACGCAGACGATGCGCCGGCTTGCGTTGTTTGCAAACACCAGCAGAGCGGGGACGACAGCGTGGAAGTCTGCGAGAACTGCGGCCGAGGGTATCACGTCAAGTGCATGGATGGGAATTTCAAACGCAATGGATACTGGTTCTGTCGGATGTGAGTTTCGGGGGGTAGCCGGGATTTTTGCGGTATTTCGGGAGTAAACGAATATTTTTTTTCGTAGGTGTACGTCGCCAAATGGTAAACGAAAGGACATCCGATATGTCTGTTCCGGGGTGCTGTCGGAATCGTTGGACCCCCTGACGGATAAGGCACAACTTCCGTACGATGTGAGTTTTCTATAATCTACCATTCCGACGGTGGGAAATCTGACCTGCTTTTTTTTCTAATTCCAGATCGAATGCTTAACGTGGGACCCACTGCATCGCACGAATGTCGAACAAAACTACTGCTACTGCGGCGACGATGGCGACTGGCTGCGGGAAATGATCCAGTGCTGTCGCTGTCAACAGTGGTTCCACGGGCGGTGTATCCGTAGTCTGCAGTATCCCATCTTTCTCGGCGATCGGTTCTACTTCTTCATATGTTCCATCTGCAACCACGGGCATGAATTCGTTCGGCGGTTAGAAGTTAGTTGGCCGGATCTGATACACCTGGCGCTGTACAACTTGGTCGCTCGCAACGGGAAGCGTTTCTACGACGTCACGAAGGCAATCTTCCCGTACGTGGAAGACAACTGGAAGACGCTTCAGTTGTCCCATCAGGTTGGTTGGTGGTTTGAGGATGTCCAATTGTTTATAGGCTTGACTGAAATCGTTCCCTGTAATTGTAGATGAGCAAACTATCGCCGAACGCACGGAAGGAAATCATCACCCAGACGTTGGCCAACGATCGGGTGCGATTTAAATGTGGCAGCGAGGTGCAGAAGGCGGCCACCATGTGGACTCTGCGGCTCCATCAACCACCGCATCCTGCGAACGTACTAATCCAGCCCGGTCAGATCATCACCGAGCACATTCTGACGCAGATGTCCACCGAGAATCGGATCTATCGGTTCCTGCCGAGAGTGTGAGTATGCTATTTGAGTTCAGCTGTTGCTTTCTTACGGTTTTAGGAGAATGGGTAGTAGACTTCAGTGAGCTTGCTTAGGGGGCAGCAGTGTTTGACGTTCAAACGTTAATGTGCAGCAAGCGGAAACTGCAATTGCGTTTTTGGTGAGATGATCGAGCATGAAACTTAAATGGCAGTAAGGTTCAACTCGGAATAACTGGCCCTGATGGGAAGATATTGGAAGATCTACCAAATGTTTGTTTAATATCAGCTTAAAGCAGCTCGTAATTCGGGATTCGTAAAAATTAAGGCCGTCCGCAATGCTGGACTGTTTTAATTTGAAACTAGAACAGGACACAGCCATCAGACAGTGGACTGTCCTCATCGTATGACTTTATCAAATGTTTACACCAGCCTGCATTCAATTTACGTGGAATTTATGAGAATCTCCTTCTAATGATAAGATCCTTCAAGAAGCTGCAAAACGAGCAATCATACGAGAGGATGTCCCAATGAGTGGGGAAGAAGAACCCACCCTCAATCCACGAAATGTTGACGATGGGAGCTTGGCAATTCCACTCTCCCTGTTCATCCACGATGATCTGCTGGCTTTGATTCATGATAAAGAAACGGTCAATGAAATTTGGAGCACTCTGGAAGGAATCTACGCCAAGAAGTCGGCAAGCAACTCGCAAAGCTGAGAATGGCCGAATATACCTCAATCGAGGACCATTTTTGAAGACTTTCAACGATATTATTCGGAAACTTAAGTCAGCAGTCAGCAAAACTAGAAGAAAGTTATCTGGTTTCGCAGCTGTTCGTAACCCTCCCGGAATCCTACGACCCGACAGTCACAGCTTTGGAGAACCTTGATGAAGATAAGTTGACCCTTGAAGTCGTTCGAGAGAGATTGTTGGCAGAAGAAATGAAGAAATCTACCCGAATGATCGATGAGCACAAAGAGAAGCTGTCAGCGTATGTTGGAATCAACCAGAAACTACGGAAGTTTACAGGTAAATGCAATCGGTATCACAAGAAAGTACAGATGGCTAAGGACTGCAGAAGCAAGAGCCATGCGGGAAGCGAATGCAGCAAGTGGCGGAAAGTTTGTTGCGGTCATGGGTGGTAGGCCATCTGATAGCGGTGATCGAAGAAAAGTTACCTTCAAGCTTGACTCAGGAGCTAGTGAGCCAGAAGTGATATTTCGAATCTCTTGAAAGGACGAATGTGTTGCAAAAAATGACCAGTCCATAACAGCTTGACACAAAGAAAAAATCGTTGGAGTCAACAGTCTCGGTGTTCAGTGTACCATAGACAGCATTCTCTATGCAGCAGATTTGCGAGGGAACCTTGTATCGGTTTAAAAGCTGACTAGAGCAGGTGTCAAGGTGTCGTTTAGAGAAAAATCGTCTGAGATGAACCACAATGGGGAAATTGTAGTAATTTTCACAATAAGTCAGAGGTATTCAAGAAGTTTAGAAACTATAAAGCGATGGTTTCAGCTGCAACGGGTTACCGAATCTCGAAACTCAAAGGAACAGGCACGATTCTATTCCAAGAAGGGTATCCAGATAGAACCCTTCTGTTGCATACACTCCACAGTAGAATGGAGTCTCCGAGAGATTCAATCGGACGTTAATCGAGAAAGTTCGTATGATGCTAATCGAGGCCAAGACACCGAAACGTATGTGGAATGAAGCTGCACTAGCTGGGGTCTATCTCATGAACCGAACTCCGACCAATACTGTTTCGGAAAGCAAAACTCCTATCGAGATGGGGACGAATCAGAAGCCTGATATGACGAAGCGCAGAGGTTTGGCTGCAAGGCATATGTTCCCACTCAGCAGCGGAAACAGATAGATTCGAAAAGTCAGTTGTCAGTAATGGTCGGCCCATTAGGGAGCGCCCGTTCTGCGGTAAGTCAAATACGATGTTACCTCGAACAGAAACTGTAAACTGTTTCAGCTGCCCAATCTCCCTGTGCTATAGATGTTCCAACTACGTTCGATGAGATCTCTGGTCGAGCTGACAAGACATGCTGGTTGAAAGCTGTGAACGATGAACTGGATTCCTTGCACTCCAATAACGTTTGGCGACTTGTGAATAGCGTCCTGAGGGAATCAAGCCGTTGCAATCGAAATGGGTAGTTCGAGTCAAAGAGAACAAATTTGGCAACCCTATCCAGTACAGAGCTCGATGGTCGCTAAAGGTATGTTCCAGTAGCAAAGCTGAGCACCATAAGGACAGCACTTGCAGTGTCGGTTCAGAAGAAGTTTCACCTCCATCAACTTGATGGCCAAACTGCTTTCCTATGTGGTGAACTAAGAGAAGATGACAGTTCGAAAAAAGTGATAGTGTACGTGGATGATCTACTCCTGATGGGAGACAACATTAGTATGATAGATCAACTGAAGCAAACATTGTCACTGAAATTCGAGATGTGTAACCGTTCTGTTACAAAGGTCCAATACAATATTTTAAATATGCACCATGTGATCGAGCATTCAAATAAATTTGTATAACACTTGCGGTGAAACCCACTGGACAGACGATACGGCCATGCTTAACGGCCGACTGCTGAATAAGGCGTGCATGGCCGCGGCAAAATTGTGACACGGAGTCAAGGATGATGAGCTGAAGGGTTCTGCGATGCTTATAGAACAGCCATCGTTCACTTTATCTCAGGCGAGCGTGTAGACCAGAAGTGTCTGTGGAGTGTACTTTAACAAAATACTAAATGCGAGTAGTGAATCAAGGTGAAGTGTAAATCGACAATTCAGCTGATTCAGGTAAAGTCGAAGTCATCCTCGAAATTGGTCGAAGGCACTAATGGATGTTACCTCCTCGCTAGGACCATTTTTTTTTTTTCAACCAATCAAATCGTTTTCTGGTTGGCGAGTCAAGGATCGCCATTGCACGCTACGGTCTAGATGACATTTAGTTACCTTGACCTAAACGTAAAGGACATCGGGCTGAAGGCCCTAAACGCCAAGGAGAATTTCCCTTCCCGGTTTGATAGAGGGCGGCCCTGCCGTCGTCGACCGGCTTCGTCAGAAGGAAGCGCCTGTGCATCGGAACCATCTCCACAAACCGCTATACCAGCCCCGGTAAAACCAAGTACAGCCGACGTTCGGTCAGCCTCGCTTCATCCGCCATTGTCGGTATTGTACCGGAATTTCACTGATTGGTGGTACCCTTTAATCATCCGCCATCGACAGGATCATTCCGGAACCGCAGCAAGCGCTCGCTGGTCTGCAGTCGTCGTAGTCGCCATCGTAATCAAGAGTATATGCCAAGCAAATCAATCACAACACCACACAATCCACACTGTCGTTAATTGGAGAAAATACGGTGTTTAAGTTGATCCGCGCTGTGTTTCAGTTCATTTGAAAGCTTGAGTGCCTTTTCGTCCGCATAGCCCCTTCCAGTTTGCTCAGTAGTGCGCCAACTCTGAGACACAGTTCAAGGAGTCTCGTGCTGCTGAGTTGTTGTCGGGCAGAATATTAGTTTCAGAAGTTAGATTGCGGAGAAGTTAGACATTTCCTTGGCATTCGAATTGGCTATGATCGAGAAAAGGGATTTAGCACACATTCGATGGAGGCGAACATTGACAATCTTCTGACGAAATTTGGAATGGAAAAGTGCAACCCTGTGAAATTCCGATGGAGAAGAGCCTTGCGTTTCCCGAATCGAGCTGTGGTGCAGATCAACCCTACCAATTTTGAAGCCGGATAAATATCCAGCTAAAGTTTGTGGTAATACTGACTAAGCCAGCTATCTGAGGCTCGTTGACCTTGATCCTTACGTCTTCGTTTATTGGGACCACTTCCGGAGACCTTTGGAGAACGTACAAGACTACCAGGATTTGGTATAGCCTGTGGATGAAACGATTGTGAGAGCGGTTGTTGAAGTCAACTCAATTTTCCAGTACGCTGCAAGGTCAAGATGGCCTTCGAAGATAGATAACGAACCTACCAAGCTCCATTACGCACTACTCACAAGAGAATGGTAGAGCGATTCAACGTTAATGATACTGAGGTTCAACGTTCCTAATATATTAACTGACATAACCCCAAGGCTGCAAAATGCGTGTCAATGGCCGGTTCTCAGCAATGCAATGACCAATCGTTATGATTCAGCCACCAATCGAAAGATATGGCTATCTAATTTTATTTTGAATAGATAGAAACTCAATTGGACCTGTAGTTGGCCAGCCGGAATGACATGACTGGTTCTCGGCGATTTGGCTACCACATCTTAAAATGTAGCCACTACATGAAAGGTATGATTATCTACTTTCAAACGGAACAGACAAGGAACCGATTGGAGTTGTGGGTGGCCAATCGGAACGATAAAACCCGGGAAAGGTGGCTCTGTGGAAATTCGGATTTACCGGGAAAATTGTCAATTCCTGAAAGAAGACCAAGAGATCCGCGATTTTTTCCTCAATTGCATACAATTATGAGCATAGAGGAAATATACCATCACCATATCAATTCTTCAACCAAGTGGCCAGAAAGCGGTCCTCTGGATATCCGGAATCACCGGGAAAATAGTCAATTTTCAAAAGTAGACCTGGAGATCCGTGCTTTTTTAGAAAATGTAAAAAACCCTTAGTTAAGAAGATATTTCTCAGTGACATATTGATTTGGTCCCCCGGTGGCCATTAAATGCTTTTCTGGATATCCGGATTTACCGGGAAAATGGTCAATTCTTAAAAGTAGTCCTAGAGCTGCGCGATTTTTTTCTAATTTGCAAACAATCATGAGCATAAAGGAAATATACCATCACCATATCGATTTTGCAACCAAGTGGCCAGAAAACGGTCCTCTGGATATCCGGAATCACCGGAAAAATAGTCAATTCCGGATACACGGATCTCTAGGTCTAGGTCATCCACAGTACCGTTTTTTGGCCAATTGGTTGCAGAATCGATATGATGAAGGTGTATTTCCTATATGCTCATGATTGTATGAAATTTATAAAAAAAAATCGCGGATCTCTAGGTCTATTTACTTTCCGGAATTGACCATTTTCCCGGAGAATCCGGCTATCCAGAAGGGCGTTCAATAGTCCCTGTGGGACCAAATCAATATGTCACTGAGATATATATTCTCAACTAAGGGTTCTTCACATTTTCTAAAAAAGCACGGATCTCCAGGTCTTCTTTTAAGAATTGACTATTTTCCCGGTAATTCCGGATATCCAGAGGCCTTAATCTGGCCACTCGGAAGCAGAATCGATATGTTGATGACGTATTTCTTCTATGCTAATGATTATGTGCAAGTTAGAAAAAATCGCGTATCTCTAGGTCTACTCTCTGGAAGTGACTAATTTCCCGGTGATTCCGGATGTCCAGAGAACCGTTTTCTGGCCTCTTGGTTGCAAAATAGATTTGGTGATGGTATATTTCCTCTATGCTCATAATTGTTTGCAATTTAGGAAAAAATCGCGGATCTCTAGGACTTCTTTCAGGAATTGACCATTTTCCCGTTGAATCCGAATTCCCACAGAACCACCTATCACGGGTTTCATCGTTCGGATTGGCCACCCACAACTCCAATCGGTTCCTTGTCTGTTCCGTTTGAAAGTAGATAGTCATACCTTTCATGTAGTGGCTCAATTTTAAGATTTGGTAACCAAATTGCCGAGAACCAGTCATGTCAACTATGAATCGACACGCATTTTGCAGCCTTGGTACTTTGAGGAAGTTTCGATGGCTTGGGATTATGTCAGTTAATTGGTTCACGCTCGGGAAGAATTTCTCGGATAGACATAGCAGATTCGCTGGATCACCAGTCCGTTAAAATCGACTGTTGACTCAAATTAACCTCATTTACCCATTCAATCTCTTCCAGTGCCCTGGAGCGATCGCTCGTCAACGACGCGCCCAGTCGGGAAAAAATGACCGGCGTCTGCTACTGCTCCCCGCTGGTATCGGAGGACGACGCCTCGGACGTGTCGGACGACCCAACCAACCAGGAGGACATCAGTTCCGATTACGAAGCAGCGGCAACCGGTGCGGGCATCGGTGGTGGTGGCGAGCTTGCCATGGCGACGGCGGCCGTGACGGTGTCCGGCGGCGACAGTGTTGCCAACAGTACAGGGAAACAGTCTAGTTCAAATTTAAGTGATTCGCTATTTAGTTCCAATGCAAAGGATGGCTTCCAGCTTTTTGGGACCAGTACGGGGCCGTGCTCGAAACCGCAGAGCGATGCGGGCAGTGTTGCCAGCGGGAGTAACAACAGGCGGGCGTTCAAGTCACGCTCGAAAAATACGGAAAGCGAGAAGTCTTTAGATGTCTACGATTCGTCGGATGACGCGTCGAGGAATACGTTGGATTTGATTATCCCACCGCCGAAGGATTTCACCGGGAAGAACAATCCCTTTCATCAAGCTACGGCTGCGGCTGTTGCCGCTGCTGCTGCAGCAGCAACAGCAGTATCGACTGGCACCAGTGCTAGCGTTGTTACCGGGACCACGAAAAGCAACGAACTGAAAGACTTGATGCAGAAGGCTAATAGTACCAACCACGTTAATCATTTAAGTAGCAACCTAGTGAACGGTGAACTGCGGGTGGCGCGGATCGTCAAGCGGAGACTGAGCGCTCGAGATATACTGAATGGCTCCAAAAGCAAGCGGCGAAAGTTCCTCAAAAGTTCGGTAAGTTCTGAATCTTCTTGTTCTCGCCGCAGATACCTTCTAGCTTCCAAATTTCCAGGTTATTGGTACCACAATAACGGCAGTTCCTGCTCCTACCAGCTCCCTCACTGTACCGGGCCAAACATCCAGCCTGATAGCGTCACTGTTCAGCCAACCCGTGGACAGTAATGGCTGGACCAGTCAAATTCCCCTCAGCCACCTGCTACCGTCGTCATCCTCATCGGGAAGTAGCACCCCGGCCAACTGTTCCTATTTGAGTGCTGCTCAAGTCCTGCCGGCGGCATCCTCATCCGCATCCACCTCTTCCGCGGTAGCCATTCTGGCACCTCAGGGACCACCACCGCCGCCACCGAAACGAAACTTTGCCCACGGTCGACGGCTACGCCAGCGGCAGGAACGGAACTATGACGAAACAAGTCGACGGTCCAATATGGTTGTCAGCCTGCCGGGTTCGCCGATTAAAAATGGAATCCCGGGTGCTATCAGCGGTGGTGGTGGTGGTGGCGAGAATCCTCCAGCCGCGGGAACTGATCTCCAATCGTCGCTCAATTTATACTTTGGCGCAACTCATCGTATTCTCAGCGGAGAGAGGTTCGTCGTCAAGGGTCGACGAACCTCGATCTCCGGTAAGGTACAGTATTTGATCGAATGGGAAGGCTGTCCGGCGACGCAGGTTATGTAAGTAGTAGATGTACTTCGTCCTTCTCCTTATCCTCCCTATCCTCCTATTGTTCTCGTGGTGTATCGTCGAACGTATTGGTTTGTATATGTGTAGTGGCGACCGGAGCAAAAGCATTCCATAGGTTTGAGCAAGTGTGGACAGTTGATGAACTTAATCTTTGATTGGAAATAGAGCGATGATCGAACGATTTACGTTTCATAGAAAGAGAGAACGAAATCGGGAATTTGTTCAAGTTAAAGATGTCTACGCCTCATGGCATAACGCCTGCGCTAATAATAAGTACACAGTAATGTTTTCGCATTGGTCAAAATTTTTTATATTGAGCTTCTTAAAGAGCTCGAATTCATTGGTGTAGCTTGCCAGTATTGTTCTAAAGTTACTGCCGTTTTCAAATTAGTCGATTTTTCAATGTTTTGGCCTGTGCGAAAATATTACTGTGCAATTCTTTGTTTGCACAGGAGTCTAAAGTGGTGCAAAATGTAACGTTTTGAATCACTATTTCGAAAATGGTCATGTAAATTTAGCGTTAAATATTGCAGTGAAAACAAATTCACCTATCTACGGATCGTACTTCATGAAAAGTTTAACGCAAGTTAAGATTGCGAAACCTTAGAAATTCAACCGCTGATTCTTTCATCGCTTCATCAACGTTAGTTACTCACTCAAACCATCGGAAATTCCTCACGAAATGGGACTCATTTCAACGAATCAGTACCATCAGGCAAGATCGCAGCCGGAACCGGCTCGACGGAACCGCAAATCAGGAAAGAAACGCAGACTGTTTTTTGTACGGAATGTAGTAGAAAGTATTTGTCATCACAGACACAGTGTTGCCAGTAAATGGAAACTAAAAGCTAGTTTTGTACGTCATTTTAAAACATTTTATTAAGCCAAGCCAAGAAAGGAAACGAAAGTCATAACGACAAGTGCAAAAACACACAAATGCATACAGAATAAAATACACACACACACTCTTGCATCTTAGAATTAGAACAATACAAGCGCGAATTGAGTAGATTTTAAACGCTGATCAAACTGCCAAAAGTTACTATAATAAATGCTGATAATCCTAAACAATCCTGTCAGAATCAGCAAATTACTTCGTACATACATAACCTTATATACAACGTTTCATTATTTCAATGCTTTCGTTACAGTTTTGCACTTTTTTGGTTGTTTATTATTATGTTATGCACACATAAACACAAATACACAAAAATTCGAAAATTAACCACAAATCCGGAAAACGTAAGAAAAGTGAAACCCAACACTGCCTAATCCGTGTGATAAAATGGAGAATTTGCGAGGAGGAAACATTAAATTAATTAAAGCGAATTAAACAAAGGAAACATTTTCGTCAGACACCAGAAAGCGAGAGAGAATGAAAAGTCTTTTGTTGATCACCAGCGGAGGAAACAATTGCTCGATTTAGTCAAGACCGTCTTTAAACTTATGTTTTCTTTTTCTTTTTTTTTGAATCCGCTGGTGATTACCATTTCATTTCAGTTCTAACCTAAAAGTATGTAAATAACCAAATTCGATCCTAGGAAAAGAAAAAAAAAACAAAAATCACGTTTCGTGTAATTTAAACAAATTTCGAAACCAATAACTGATATAAACTAAATTAGTTGTTTAAATTATTGTCCGCTTTTATCGAACTGTAGCAAAAGGAAAAAACAATCGCCGAGATCTAAGATTTTTTTTGTTTTTTCGTTGTGTAAATATGCGCGCGCGACCGACTGTAGAAATGTATAACCTAAATCTTATTTTGAAAGATTCTGTTGAATACTTTTATTGTCAAAAGAAGGAAGTTTGTTTGTTAAGTTCAGTTGAAAAGTTTAAGTAGCAAAGAGGACCCGAAACGCGATGCCGTTTTGGGTTCCTGAATTATTATTTTCGTCACCGTCGTCGTGAACAGGTTCTAACTAGATGTTTAACAGCAAGAACTAATTAACCAATCAAACTATAACACACAAAAAACTATGAACGATTCCTGTGTGCGTGTCGGGGAGGGGTCGGGAATCGATAAAAAACCGAAACTACATTATATAGTGTATGGGTGTAAATTATTGAAATCAATTCTAGTGTAACACGGGCATCGTAAGAGAGAGAGAGAGAGATAGCAAGTGGTTTTGTACCGATGATGATTTGGAAAACACGACTACGGATCCTTAACAGTATGTGGTGGGTGTGTATGACGATTGTTTTCGATAGTGAATATCACGTTCCTTTTGGGTTGAAGTTTTACCTTGTCTTTCTGGTTATCTCGAGAGAATATCTGCTGAGCGTCATTTGAATTGTTGATCGACAGTTGTAGCTCTCCATACATAGGGGAAAGTGGCCACCCGTGGTCTACTTATCGAACATATTTTACAAACATTATGTTGCAGGCTGATTACCGACGCCCGCCACGGTACAATCTGGAACGACTCACGTTACCCGAAGTCGCAACTGACTACGCGCAAAACCTTGAGGGAGAGCTGAACCGAAGTCCCTCTTGAGGACTGTTGGGATAGTGTCAAAGCAGCCATTAACAGCGCATCAGCAGGTGCCATTAGGTTTGTGGAACGAAATCGACGAAACCATTGGTTTGACGAGGAGTGTCAGATGATTTTAGACGAGAAGAATGCAGCGCGGGTGATGATGCTGCAGCAAGGTACCCGTCAAAATTCGGAGCGATATAAACAGAAGCGAAGACAGCAAACTCACCTTTTCCGGGATAAGAAGCGTCGCCAGGAAGAAGCAGAGTGCGAAAAAATGGAACAACTGCATCGTTCACAACAGACTCGCAAGCATAGAGGTAACTCTTAAGACTAGAAGGTCCCGAAGAAATGTGCTCAGCTTTTTGGTTCAGCTCTGGTACTCTCTTCAGTCCCAAGCTAATCGATGCACCCCTCGAAACATAGGAAAATCCACGAACTCTCATTTTATCTGTCAAACTTTCATAGCGAATCAAAACAAATATAACAAACAAACATTTTAAATTGGCTCACTACTTGACTAGCCTATTGGTCCCAAGCAAATTGATTAACGTACCCCATTCTAGTCGAAATTCTAGTACTACACAATGGTTGTTTTGATTCGCTATGAAAGTTTGACAGATAAAATGAGGGGTTAGTGGATTTTCCTATGTTTCGAGGGGTGAATCGGTTAGCTTGGGACCGAAAAAAATACCAGAGCTGAGCCATAAAGTTGAGCACATTTCTTCGGGACCTTCTAGTCTTAGAGTCTCCTCTATGGTAATATGCCCAATATACAAGAAAGGTGACAAGTTAGAATGTGAGAACTACTGGGCGAGCACCATTCTCAACGCATCATACAAAGTGCTTTCCCACATCATCTTCCGCCGTCTATCGCCGCTAGGAAGCAGATTTGTGGGAAGTTATCAAGCCGGTTTTGTGGACGGGCGATCGACAGCAGACCAAATCTTCACGTTGTGGCAGATCCTCCAAAAATGTCGCGAATATCAAGTTATCGCTCAGCTTCTGAGACGTGCAGACGTTTTTTTCGATTGCGCTTATCACAAGTGAAGTATTTACGGTTGGATATTTGTCTACTTCGGTGTGCCGCGTCGCGTGGTAAAGTGTTCCGCGATGAGGCGAGAAAACACTTTTAAAATCGATTATTCGAACTTCACCATCAAGCCATCGGTCGAAAAACTTTATGGATTTTGTCGGTCGGTTCTCGGTTTGAAAAGGGAAGATATCAAACGACTACAGTGCCACAGAGGTGGAGCATGTGCGTTTATCAAACTCAGTGACTTCGCGCTTGCACAAAAAGTTGTTGACGAACATGATGGAAAACATGAAGTGGAGTGTGAGGGGAAGAAACACAAGCTTCGGATTACGTTGGAAGACGGTAGTGTTGAGGTGAAGGTTTACGACCTCCCCGAAGGTGTGTCTAAAGAAAAGGTCGTACAATTCCTAAGCGCGTTCGGCGAAGTAATCTCGATTCGCGAGGTATCATGGAGTGAAAACAACGAATGCGAAGGCATACCGCTCGATATATGGTCTGTCCGTATGTTAGTGCAGCGGAACATCGACTCGTGGGTCATCATCGACGGAGAGCAAGCGTTCGTGGTGTACAAGGGGCAGCTGCAATCCTGCCGGCACTGCAAAGAGCACGCACACACTGGCATATCATGTGTCCAAAACAAGAAACTACTGTTTCAGAAAAGCTACGCAAACGTGACGAAGCAAACTGGACAGAGTTATAGGTCAACAACCGGTCATCAACCGAAAAAACCAGCTGGTGCGAAGCCTCCAAGCACGAAACCGTTCGGTCACAAATCCACCGCTCCGCCAGCGATATCGTTGGACGTTTTTCCCGAACTGCAGAAACGCACGAGCCAGGGTGAATCCTCAGGCTCGAAAACGAACGCAAACAGCCTGCCTACAGTGGGTGCTGTGTCGTTATGCCCACAAACACAACGAACACCCAATTCGTTGCCATCATTCCTAAATCCACCGCAAGCTGTCGTGTCGTTGGTCGATGTATTTAAAAAACCAGAAATACACCGCGATCGCAGAGCAAAAGCGGCAACGGGAACGAAACCGATGAATCCTCCACATCCACGAGCAGCAGACGAAGCAGAGGACGTCCAGTGGGCAAAAAACCTCGTCGGGACGACGAAGATATGGAGAAGGATGAGGATTCCCACCCATAAATGGCTCTCACGTCGTATAATATCTCGTCGATCAACATCGGCACCATCACGAGTCCAACAAAACTAAACGCGCTACGGAACTTCATCAATAGCCAAAGCCTCGATATTGTGTGTCTGCAAGAAGTAGAAAACGAACAGCTCTCCTTGCCTGGCTTCGTCGTTTTCTCAAATGTGGACCACACGAGAAGTGGAACGGCGATTGCACTGAAGGAACATATCCAGGTCTCTCACGTTGAGAAAAGTCTGGATGGTCGACTGCTTGCTCTGAGAGTACAAGACACGACGATTTGTAATATCTACGCTCCCTCCGGCTCCTCACAACGTGCAACTCGGGAGGATTTCTTCAATGGAACGCTTGCTTACTACCTCCGTCATCGCACTAGGCATGTCATCCTGGTCGGTGATTTCAATTGCGTACTTCGTGCATGCGATTCGAGTAGCCCGAACACGAGCCCTGCCCTTAGATCAGCTGTGCAACAATTGCAGCTTCACGACGTGTGGGAAAAACTGTGTCCACGCGAGACAGGATTCACGTACGTCAATCGGAACGCACAATCACGTCTCGATCGCATCTACGTGAGCGGTAAACTGCGACAACACCTTCGAGCAGCACACACACACGTGTGGTCATTCACCGACCACAAAGCGTTGACACTCCGAATTTGCCTTCCCCATCTTGGACAGGAGCCTGGCCGTGGATTCTGGTCTCTTCGGCCTCACCTTCTGACCGACGAAAACGTTGCGGAGTTCCAAAACCAGTGGCAATTTTGGACCCGGCAACGCAGAAATTATGGTTCGTGGATTCAATGGTGGCTTACATACGCTAAGCCTAAAATAAAAAGCTACTTCAAGTGGAAATCTCGTTTGGTGTTCGAAGAATTCCATAACGAACATCAACATCTCTATACGGAACTACGGCAAGCGTATGACCGCTATTACCAGCACCCAGAAATATTAACCACCATCAACAGGCTGAAGGGCGAGATGTTGGCGCTTCAACGAAATTTCTCCCAAACATTCATGCGAATCAACGAAACTCATGTGGTGGGAGAACCCATGTCTATATTTCAACTGAGAGAAAGGTGAAGGAGGAAAACCATCATCACGCAGCTGAAGACAGAGCAGATTCGAGCACCGAAAACTACTGTTCGTGATGCAGAGAGTACCGGACGAAAACTGCACACATTGTGGCAATCACACGACTGAAACTCTTCTGCATAAATGTTGTGCTTGTGCTCGTGTCGGCCCGGCTTGGACGGTTCTACAGCAGAGGATAGAAGCCATAATGAATGGATGGAGACGACTCTCTTTTGAAGACTTGGTGAGACCTGCCCTAGTAGGAGTAGACAGAAGAAGGCGCGCGGAAGTGCTTAGTGTTTTTATTAAATACATCTGCTTTGTTTGTGAATGTAACGAAATAATTGATGTAGACGCACTGAAATTTCATCTCGATTTAGAATAACAAATTATAATTACTGTTATCAAACAAACTGACAAATAAATAAAAAAAAAAAAAAAAAAAATATCATGTTCCTACACACCACCTATTCATCGATTTTAAAACCGCTTACGATACTATTGACCGTCAACAGCTATGGAACATTATGGACGACAACGGTATTCCCGGGAAACTGAGAAGAATTCGACAAGGCGCTGGCCTTTCCTGTCTCCTGTTTAACATTGCACTAGAAAGTGTTATGAAGCATGCGGGCTTCAGCATGCGGGGCACGATCTTCAATGAGTCCAGCAAGTTCATCTGCTTCGCTGACGACGTGGACATAGTCGGAAGAACGTTTCAGGCGGTGGCCGGCTAAACCGTGAAGCAGAAAAGGTTGGATTAAAAGTGAAAACGTCGAAGATAAACTATCTCTAAGCTGGAGGAACCGAGCGCGATATGGCTCGCATTGGCAGAAGTGTGACAATAGACGGAGATGAGTTCGAGGTGGTGGTACACTGCTATACAGCATTTATCTCGGCATTTATTCAATATAGGTGAAATGGCTCTAATGTTGGCCTATGGATCTAAGATTGGGCTAAAAATCTGCTATTTATCAATTTTATCTAGATGAACGCGTCATTGGGACGGTACTAATTGCTATTTTTAGTCGCTATTGAAAATTTTGTCGACTGCTGAATTTATGTATGGGCCCAAATTAGGGGTATTTAGGACGACATTACATCCATTTCCCCTGTATGCTTATTTGAGACTCTGAATTTTTCGTTGGGCAGTTTATATTGATACCCATGGACCGTCTACGGCTGGTACTATTACGTCAAGAAGAATGATGATTTGAGGACAGTATATGAAAACACTTCGAGGCAGCTGGTTGCTTCGGCAAGATCTTTCCTTTTTATCTATTTATGCTTCATATCCGTTCATGTTTAAGGTACGTCATTATCATCATTAGTTTATCAAAACGATCCCTGCTGCAAACCTTTCCCCACACCCAACATTTCAGTGATTTCTCCTGGAAGCGCAGAGGACTGCTCGGTTTCCTTCACAGCGAGTATCGCGTCAACACATTCCTTCCCATTCCCTATTTGACCTGCACTGGCCACGACCGGCGCTGGTATTGGTAAACATTAGATCTCCATCAGTGTTTACGTTTACACATTGAGGATCAGTGTTAGTCCCAGTTAGTGTCTCTGTGTAATTGCAGCTGACCTGGCAATAACGGAACAGCAACCGTTGGCGGTCAATCATGCTCATGCTCAAATTTTCAGACGAATTCGTCTCAATTTTGAGTTAATCTCATTGGCCGGGTACTAGTGTACTCATAGACTTAAAAGACGTAATTTTTTTCTTTTTTTAAGCAGATTTTTGAGAAAAATTTCACTCACTACTATTTTGAGAGAAATCCTACTCAATTTTGAGTTAGTCTTACCGTACACGGCGGTGTCTAACGGAGTGACAACCGTGTCATCCCCAGGCGATTTGATGCAAAACGTACAGGTAAGCTCTTATATAACCTCGCAACCGGTCGTCTTTCTCTGTTCTCTCGATAGTCATAATAAGCGAGCACGTGATTTGTTTATTGCGATTGTTTTGATAAATTTTCAATAGTTTTTCTAATGATAAATTACTATAATCTTTATACCAAACAAATCTTACATCAATTCTGAATCAAAGGATGTGAAAATAATTTGAATCCATCAAAACATGACCAAGTTGTAAACGTTTAAAACCTAACACTATTTCCATTTGTATAGTCAACAAAAACGTAGTCTTAATGTGATTGTTACTTCACTAAAGTAATGTTGAGAAAGATTTCGTTCATATTTACGTTTGTTTGCGAAAAAGATATCAATTTTTTATATTATATTCTGTGTCATCGTGTTCTCTAACGTGTCGATCGGTGTGGTATGATGTGCTTCGACACAGTGTGCAGAGTTGATTACCGCTTGTAAATTCATTTGAAAGCCAACTTAACTTTTCAAGAATTTAAGCAATAAACAAACTGATTCTGAATTTTGATACAGATTTAAAAGATTTTTTTACGTTGAAAATACAGATTAAGATTAGAAAAAAATGTGACGGTCGAAACCTGACTCTTACCGGTAACCGACGGATTCGGGTTGGGTACGTGTAATAACAAAATATGTTCGGGTTCAGGTCGGGATGTACTTTTTAATTAAAGCTTTTTTGAAGATAAAATTATGTTTAATTTTATTTCCTGACTAAGAACTACCGTTTAATTGATGTAATTTTCCTATGTTTGCATCAATATTAATAGTTGACATTGTTGGCCTTATTATATAAGTCGTGCCGAGCGTCACTTCGGCGCACTGTTCTAATTTGGTATTACCATAGAGGTAACTCTAAGACAAGTAGGTCCCGAAGAAACGTGCTCAACTTTTTGGCTCACCTCTGGTACTCTCTTCGGTCCCAAGCTTGTCGAATCACCCCTCGAAACATAGGAAAAACCAATAACCCCTCATTTTATCTGTCAAACTTTCATAGCGAATCAAAACAAACATTGCGTAGTACTAGAATGTCGACTAGAATAGGGTACGTTAATCGTTTGCTTGGGACCAATAGGCTAGTCAAGTAGTGAGCCAATTTAAAATCGTTAGTTTCATATTGATTGTTGGTATAACTTCTGTAATGAGCAGCTAAAACAAAAACATTTTTTTTTTACAAGGTAAAAAATAAATTTTAATATTACATCCAAGAGACAGATGACAGATGACTAACTGGCGAAGAAATCAATTAATTATTAATTATTAAAATAATGTGATTCGTTGTAACAGATTTTTTTTTAGTAGCTTGTGCCATCAGCCACTAGCTGGGCTAGTATTTTTGTTTTGATTTGGAGAAAGCTGATTTTGTGTGCAAAGAGTGAATCATTTTGTAATTTTTTTCTGCATTTCTGTTTTGAATAGAGTGAAACAGCTAGAACCAAAACATTCTAGTACATTTGATGAAAATGCTAGTACAATCCAGTAGAAGTGTTGCCATGTCGTACACTGAAAAATTGCAATAACAGTTTCGTCACCAAAGTTTTCGAGCCGGTGCGGCTGTCACTTCGTTTGTGGTGATAACGGCTCGGACAATGACCTGTTATAAGACCTGTATGTATGCTAAGATCTTTATTAGACAGGTCCAGGATTTTGTGGGTCACAGAAATGGTTGGATTGATGAATCGCTTCGACTGCCTAGCAATGGAAGTGTTCTTCCAGTTTTCCTCCACTTTTGAAGATTCCCTCGCTTTTAGCTCCATTCTAAGAGAAGCAGCCGATAAGCCACAAAAGGGCTCTGGCCCTATGAACTTATGAGATGATCCGAGCCTTGCTAGTGCATCAGCTCTTTCATTTCCGTCAATCCCGCAATGACCAGGAACCCAATAGAAGTTTGATTTTGACAAGACAATTTTTGAGGTGATTAAAAACACTCCCAGATAAATTTTGATGCACATGTCGCCGACTTTAAAGCATTTAGAGCAGCTTGACTGTCGCACATGATGCATATATTTGAACTCTTATAGTTTCTACGCAAAAGTATAATAGAACACTTTACAATCGCTTGGATTTCTGCTTGGAACACAGTTGGCCATCTGCCCATAGGAACCGATATGTCTATTCCTGGACCAGTTACTACTTGGTTGGTCAATTTTGAACCATCAGTATAATAAACAATCGATCCTGGACGAAGATCTTATCTTATCTTTCTTTATTAAAGAGCCATCGAACGAAGAAACGGACCACCAAATTGCCATGAATTGCACCAAGGCTGAAATACTTGAAAAAGTCGATTGAACTTGTAAAATAAAATCGTTTCGTCAGTTTGCGTGGAACTGCGCCACCATAGACCTCCGCTAATCTGATTGACACGTCATTCATATTAACGGAGTTCACTTTTTAATTTAAACTTCTAGTAACACTGTGAGTCCCTATGCGTATTTCTGGTATTTCTTGTTTTGTTTTGATTCTACTTTCCGTTTCACAATGTTCCATTTCGCTTCACTCCATTCCACGATCTAAATGACGTTTGAGCCATTGTTAATTTGCACGGCGTGCAGATTACCGGGGGTCCACGGTAATACCAAAACAGACCAGTGACCAGAAGTAACGCTCGACTCGACTTACATAGTAGGGGCTCTATTATGGCTGGAAAACATTGCTGCTTAGTTGTGTTTATGCAAGCTAACATAACGTTTACATTGAAAATATGTGAATACAAATAGAAGGGACTTATTCCAAAATCCAACGAAATTGCCAGAACCTTAACGACGTTTCGGCGGAGGCATCCGGAAGCCCTTCCGTCTCGATTTTGCCTCTATAATCATATTGGCCTGTCGCTTCAGATAGCTTCGCGACGGCACTTCCGCCTCGTCATCCGACAGGACAACCGTTGCTCCCGGGCCCGGTGAAGCGGAAGAAATCTGCGCCGTCGTTCTACCGGCTATCAAGTTCACATAAACCGGTGGATACGCCGGTGGTTTCTCTCGTTCCTCCTGCACCGACGAGGTTCCCACCGAAGGGCTCGTCACCGGAATTTGCAGCGCACTGGCCGGTCGCGGCGGTGGTGGAGGCTCAGCTTCGTCCTCGGATAGTCCACTGTCGACGTCGTTCGCCAGTTGACCGCTGGCAATCATGCCCAGCTTGATCTTCTCCTCCAGCATATTTCCCAGATCGTCCATGGAAATGTTCCCAGACGTGATGTCCAGCAGGTCCACCTGCTTGGTGGGCGTCCGGCTGCGCAAAAACTGCGCATCCAAATTTTCGTCAATCTCTCTCAGCGACAGCAGCAGCTCGACCAGCGAGTCTTTGATCGTATTAAACACATTCCGGGTATAATCGATCGCTTTCTCACACTCCTCTCGGCGTGCCTTTTGTTCCTCGATCGAGTTCCGGATTTTTTCCAGTTCCTCTTGATTGCTGAAATGAGAGACGGAGAGAGGGAGAGAGATATTTCGACGGCGGGGTGTTAAAAGTGTCCCACGCCCCATCATATGATTAGACAAGTTAGTGGTACTTACACATCGCTGTCCTTGACATCGGCAAACTTGAACGCATCCAATTGGGCCGTCATCAGCTCCCGTTGCGCTTCCAATTGTTTCTTCTCGTTCTCGGTGACCGTGCGAAGATACGTCAACCGGGCCGATGCTTCCCGTTGCGCCAGGAAACGATCAACGACCTCGCTCGCCGCGCTGACCCCTGGTCGTGGCATGTACATTGGTAAGGGGATGGGGTAGGGGGACAAGTTAATATTCGATTAGAGGAGGTTGATGACCAGTTTCATTATAGGCTCGTTAGGGACTAGTGATCATAGTTGACAAATAAAGCGTGGAAAATCTTAATTTCAAGCTAATCAACCGGTTCCCTAGTCTAGTGATGTAATTTAGAAGTCTCATTTGTGTTTTAGTGCTTAAAAAGGCTTCCGGTTTTTTCACCATACACGGTAAGAAAAAAGTACCCAAAAGTAGGTAAAGCGGGTCAAAGTAGTACTCATTTACTTGAGTGCAATTCGTGTGGCATTTTCGACTCGCTTTCTACCCAAAAGTAGGTAAATATTCTGATTAATAATTCTGACGAAACTCTGATACGAAATCAAATAGAATCTATCTGGGAGGAAATATAGTAGGAGGATGCCATGTGAACTTTGTAAGATTGCTTAGGAGAGTTCCTAGAGAGTTTACAGGACAATTCTGAAAAAATTCTCCAAGACAGCTCTGAGTAGAATCCTATGGCAATTCTAAGATAAATTCCATCGATATTTTAAAGGTTTTGTGAACTAGTTCTGAAAATATTTTGTGGGAAATTATGCAGAAAATTTAAATAAGGTAAGCAAGAACGATTGTTTGGAATGAGTTGTAGAGAGAATCCCAAGAGTTTTCTGGGGAAAATTTCCAAATCACAAGATCATTTAATAAAGGTTGCTGCCCTTAGTGCAAAAAGCTTTGGGAGAAGCCTGTTGCCATACTATTTCTCTATTTCTGGTCAGTCTGCCATTTTTGTTTTAGGATGATAACAAAACTGGGCGAAGGTTTCTCAGCAGGAAGAAGCGCTCATAAACGAGCCACAGTGCCACTGGCAAGTTGAAAGCTTAGTACTGCGAACTAACTCAAAATGCTTGTCATCTGGGAGCCGAGTCAAACTGTCAAACGGGAGCCAAACATTCAAAAGAGCTCAGAAGTCACGTAGGTAGTTACTGTTTGAACCACAATTAAAAGTGTTGCCACATACTGAAAACAAATTAAGAATTATAATTATAAAACTGTCGAAACAGGCGGTAGGCGGATAATGTAAATCATCGAGCGTGATGCTCGAAAAAGTGTTTTTATTTGATATTAATAATGCCAAAACTGGGTAGCTGAAACAAGAATGTAATCAAACTTTATAAGAGTCATGTGAGCTTTGTGGGCAGGTGCACTCCCATCACCATGTATACGTTATTTCTGGAGCAGAGGAGGAGGAGCCAAGGGTTCATTTGACAGCATGTATATACAATTTCGTGAGCTATCTCAGCAAAACAATTTGAAACTTCGGAAGATTTTCAAGATGTTTTCTAACTCACTTGAAACATAAAATCGGCTGAGTTCGCAGTAGTCAGGTTGAAAGCAACCTGAAAGCAACTTCGACGGCTCGTTTATGAGCTATTTTACCTCTGCTGAGCAGTTGCAGAACAAATATCGAAAAACAGACAAAAATCGTAGAAACAAGAACTTTTTTAGTTGGTTGGAAATGCTATCTAGCATGAAGCTTTAGTGTGATAATTTATTAGATAGAGAAAGGTCCGAAGAGGGTAGGTAGAGTATTGCAGTATGAAAATTGAATAGAAGTTTAAAATGAGCGAAGGGCCATTAATGCGACAGTACTAGCACCGACAAACCGACATGAATGATCATACAAAGTATCATCAAATTTCTGATCAAAGCACAAAACTGACATCTGCCGCCGTGTTCGCGAAAAATGTGTATCCTAGCCACAAACACACATACTAAATGTACGAGTTGGTTCGTGTCTAATCTATTCCGGGCAAATTATTTTTATCTAGATAACAAATTTCTATGGTTTTGACAGATGGGATCGCTGCACATTTGAATCCACCGTTATGGATTCTCGATCAAGAGTTAAGTTTTAGTTTCATGTCGGTTTGTCAAACGCACACTTCTTTACCTAATTCATACATTGATGAGGAGACTTGAAGTATTTTTTCAAATGCACAGGCAAAAAAGTGCGCTTCATGTTGATCATCGTCAAGCTTCGTCTACAATTTGGACTTCTACATCAACACATGTCAGGCAGCCTTCAGGTTCAATTGGTTAAACTTGCTGAGTTCGTTCCATTTTGTAAATTTTTATCTTTTCACCTTTTTGTGGTGCGCCGGTGGTTCTACCACCATCTACCACCGAACCCTAGTCGTGGCACCTTCAAACTAGGGAATCAGGATTTTCCAGTAATCAAAGGATCACATGTTAGTCCTTGTTACTTTTTATGACTTGATAATAGTGACAAGAATCGGGTAGTGACCAGTGCATTTCTATATTGTGTATTACAAATCAATAATATTGTTTATGTTCATAGATTTCACATAATCCTTTTCCCTTTGTGCTTCTCCTTTTCCGTTCCCTCTTCTCTTTTCAGAAAGCGAGGAATGGCGCTATAGCCATAAGTCATAAAAGGCTAGGACAAGAGTTGATGCTCATGCCCCAACCGTCAGAAGAAAATGGAGCATCAGTTAACCTTTCTTTGATGCTTCCAACGACCAATCATATCAGGCATAACATTTGATAACGGCACAAAAGCATTTGTAAACAAACTTTCTAAGGCCCTTTACACGTGAACCAAAGTACGCCCACGCAAACCAATACCACTTTCGGAAAGGTGATAGTTGCCCCTATCCGATGATATGATATGATCTACGTAGGGGGGGGGGGGGTTAAGAATTCCAAAAACCTGTTTAAATTCAATTGGAACGCTTCTCTGAATTCTCTAAACAGTTGCACCAGAATATACTTAGAATACTTCTCGTAATTCCATTGAAACCTTTGGAAAGATTCTCAGAATTTTCTTTTAATTCATTCCAGCATCCCACTCTAGCAGTATTCTCCAAAAATGTCCATAGACTTATGCTTCAGATTCGTTTTCTCCCACAAACTTCATAAAATTATCTTCAGGATGCCCTTGGAAGTTTCCTCTGTTTACTTTTAACTCGATTCAGGGTTTTCTTGAAATTCTACTCAAAACTATCTCAGGCTTCACATGAAATCTATAGTTCCTCAGAACTACCTTGAAAGCAGATTGCAATCGATGTTATTCCTAGAACTCCGTTGAAATTATGTCCTTAAAAAATTATAATAAAATTCCATGAGCCTTTAAAACTGTGTTAGGAATTTGACACCAGATTCTCGGAAATTTCTTGACGTATTATAACTTTCAAGTCCAAAATTTCAAAAACTTGTTCAATTTTTTTTTTTAGAAAATATGCATATTCAAGAACAAAAAAAAACTTTTCAGGCCTCTGCTTCTCATTGCTGAGAAGTAGGGGAAAAGTTGGCTTCGGCAATACCTTAACCTATTATCGTCAGGGGGATAAACAACGTCCTTGAGAGCTCAATTTTGGCATGTGGATTCATTGTGTTTCAGAGCAACTATTGGCCAAATTTGAGTTCTCTAGGACTTTGTTTACCCCCTGACTATAATAGGTTAAGGTACTGCCGAAGCCGACATTTCCCCTATTTGCTAAACACAGGCTTTACTGAAAATGCCTGTCTTGCTCAGCAGGAAATGTCACGCCAAAACTTCCTGCCATTATAGCAACCAGTGGCACCACTCCAGAAACCTACTGGATCGACCGCTTCCGGATCTGTGAATCTAAGCGTAGGTAAGGCTAGCTTAGCCTCATTGTCGTCTATGAGTTCGAAATGGAGCACTTCTCGATTCCGGCCCGTCGTTGATCCTCATTTCTACTAGCTTCTGGAACCAACATTTCTGTCGCAGGAGTCGGACAGTCAGTGCAAATCAACCGCAGACTGACGGCATCGACCAAAACTAGATCAACTACGTTCTCTGCTACATACAAAACCTGAAGTTCCTGTCAACTCCAATCAACGTTACATCATGGAAGATGCCAAACAACGTACCGCTAGCTGACCCGTATTTCAACCTCCAGGTATGATCTTTACCATAAGCTACAGTCTGGTAGTAGACTCTTCTTGAGAGCTGGGCTCCGACTGCTCGTCGAGACGTTCTTTTGCTGGACGATCTCAGGTCTAACTAATCAGCCTATTTCACTTTCACCGTCGTTCCACTAAGTCGATTCCAGGAAATTCCCACTTGTTCGCACGAACTCTTTGCAAATCACTAAAAGCAAATTTTCATTACGTCGAAAGTAACAAAGGTAAACAATGTCGAGCTATCAGTGTCAATCGATGCTCCTGCTATTACACTATATACTGTCCGAATATAGGATCACATCCCATTTTTAAATTTATTTACCAGTCAAATTGCTTTTTGACGTAATCACCTTCCGATCAAAATAGTTTTCGATGTTACTTAAGCCACCCGATTTCTATGGAGATGCCGTTTGACTTAAGTAACAGCGCTGAGAAACCCGTGAAAAGTGTACGTTCGTCGTTTCGCTTTCTCATTATTAAAGTGAATAAATCGAACTGTTTGTTGCTAAGATGATTTCGGTGGTCCTAAAATGATGAATGGGCTGCACGTAAGGAGACGTAATTGATAATTCTCCCGAATATCCTGGTAAATACACTTTGACTTAACTAACAATAGGGGCCACACAACGACGTATAATAACTTTTGACTTAAAAACCAGTATTTTTTAACAAGAAAGCTAGCGAATTACATTTGTATGATTAGAACCCTGCTATATATGTTAAACATTGCTATCACTATGAGATTATACGAGTTTAATTGAAAATAGGAATAACTTTTCGGTCATCAAAACAAAACTTTATTTTTCTCGGATTGGTGCGAATGTTACTTACGACATAATGAAAATTTGCTCATGAAATCATAGCCAACAGGATTGTTGACGAGAATTCTATTCGAAAATTCAGGAGAACTCCAAAGGAAATTATGAAAGAATTCCAAGATAATTCTGGGAAGCATTCAAGGAACTTTTGGAGCATTATCAGACTACTTCCTGGGGAGTAATCAAGATAATTTAGGCATAGAAACGGTTACAAGCAAGAAGATCACAAATTCAAAACCCAAGGATTGGAATTTTTCAAGATTCTTAGACTCCGAGGGCTACAAAATCGTGAGTCGGCAAAAAAATCCGGTCTTCACTAGGTCCCACCTCGAGCCATATAATTACAACAATACTAGCTGAAACATGGACACAACTTGGTGGCACAACTTATCAATTCGACAATAGCAAAGTGAGGAGGTGCGATGCGAAAACTGGCTCGGTAACCATAGTACCATAGAGGTAACTCTAAGACCAGAAGGTCCCGAAGATACGAGGTCAACTTTTAGCCTCAGCTCTGGTACTATCTTCGGTCCCAAGCTAATCGATGCACCCCTCGAAACATAGGAAAATCCACGAACCGCTTATTTTATCCGTCAAACTTTCATAGCGAATCAAAACAAACATTGTGTAGTACTAGAATTTTGACTAGAATGGGGTACGTTAATCGATTTGCTTGGGACCAATAGGCTAGTCAAGTAGAGAGCCAATTTAAAATCGTTAGTTCCGAATTGATTGTTGATAGTACGACGATAGAGGAAATGCTTCGCCAAGCGGCTGTTCATCATGGAGGTGCGGCTCAAACAGCGCCTGAATGGCATTCAGTTGCTGAATAAGAAATTTCCTCGTAAGCTACTCCTAAGATGGCAGTCTCATGACGGTGGATAGGAGACAACCTTAGGCTAACCACCTTCGAAGTGTATAAATGTTTTTGAAACTAGCAGAGCAATTCAACGAACTGGCCTTTTGCACCACTGAAAGTGCTCAGGATATTTAAAAAATCCCCGAAGTGGAAGACGTCTGTCCCTATAAAAGCCCATATATCCGTCCCAAAATTGCTCTCTTAAAAGGTATGCCTTTACATCCATTACCAAAGCGGAACTATACTGCATAAGAAATCTTCAAAATGTAAGCTAAGATTCCAGAGAATGCTGGGCAGCATTTATCTTAGGATTGATTAATAGAAATGCAGAGAGGTTTTTGAAACCGAGACCTGCTGAATTCTAGACGAAACTCCCCAAATATTGAAAGGGAATTTCCTACCTTCAACCTCCAGGACTCCAAAATATCAGATCGAATTTCTAAGCATTCCAGTAGAATTACCATAACTGTACACTGATTGACCGTTAAATGTAGGCTCTGTGTAAAACCATACGGCATACCAAAACAAAAACCTACCCAACCCCAACCATTACCTGTGGCATGCATCAACTTCTTGAACTTCCGCTCCATCTCCGATGCCGATTCCTTATCGTGACCGCTCGAATCCTCCCCGTCGCCCTTGCCTCCGGAATGATCCCCCGAAGCGGATAGGACACTTTCCTGATGCACCATCGTCTTCCCGGAGGAGAAAATCTTCCGCTCCAACCGTTCCAGTTCCAGCTTACGTTCCTCGACCTGCCGCCGGAAGTCCAGTGCCTGTTTCTCCCGTGCCTTGTTGGCATAATGCGTCGTCTGCTCCTGCCGCTGCAGGATCGACTTGGTATTGTCCCGCATCTGCATGGCTTCCTTGTGAACCGCTTCCAGCTTCGTAATCTCCGCTTGCTGCTCCGTAATGGCCTGTTCCAGTTCCAGCAAGGAACTTTCAAACTTCTCCGCATCCCTCATCAGCGACAGCTTGATTCCACGGTACTTCTTCCGGATATGCTCCGCCTCCATCCACTGAACCGAAGTCCGGTGGATCTCGTTCTCCAAGTGCGTTATCAGCTTCCTGTTGGCGTCCTCTTCCACCGTTTCCGGTGGGTTCGATCCATCCGCCTTGGAGTGTTTGTATCCTATCAACATGTGATACTGATCGAGCAGTTTCTTGTAGTAAATCTCCCGCTTCTTGTGCTTTGCCTCTACCGCATCCGCTTGCTTGTTCACATCGATGATCTTCAGGTCCACGATCTGCAGCGCATCGTGCACCGTCTTGGCCCCCGGCGGAAGCTGAATTCTTCGCTTGATTTCCTGGACATTCTTCTGCGCTTTGGCGCTGTTTGGATTGTGCAGGTAGGACAGCTTATTGGTCAGCTCGCGGACCTCCTTCTTCAGGTCGGAAATCTTCTCGCTTTGGGTCTTTCTCGAATCGGCCCACTCCTCGGTGTAGGCCTTCTTTTGACCCTCTGCCGAAGACAGAATTGAACTTGAATCGTGAGGAAAACACAGAAATTTTAAGTACTTACCAGCCAGCTGAACCTTCTTCTTGAGCTCGGCGATCTTCTTGTTGGTCAACGCTAGGCCCTCGCTGTTTAGTAGTGGCTTTGGAGTTGCCATTTTGCACTTTTCGCCGCAGGGTCCGAATTACGCAGTCTGAAGGTGGAAAAATTCCGAGATATATTTTTCCCCGTATCGATCTAACCACAAACGGTGGTTGACGGTCGACCCGTTGCCCTTGGCAATAGGGACAAGGAAGCATGGTTGCGGAATGCAATCTATTACAATTGTTTTGTCGTGGCACGTGTCTGTGTTTGGGTGTGCCGACTTTTGACCCTCGTTCCTTTGTTTATTTACTTGTTGCTTCTGTATATTGGAGCTACTTGTTGCTTCAGTGGCTGTTGGCATGTTTGGAAATAGTGGGAAGGTATGAGCTTACCTGTTGACTGGGGTTTTAGGTTGCATGTACCCAGATTCGTTACCACGAAAACAGTTTGTTTACATTCAAATTTTTGAAGCAAAGGCATTGTCAAGTTCGCAGATTTGATGGATGGGATGATTGCAAGTTGTTAGTATTTTTTAAAATATATTTCAATTGATTTTCTTTTCTGTTTTTCTATTCACAGGAGTTCTTCAAGATGAACGGCGTATTGTCGGATTATCCACAAATGATCTATTTATTCATCGGATTAGTGTTCTATACTTCATGTTCTTTTTTCCAGATACTCAAAACAATAAAACCTAGTACAGCCATTTGGTCGCCTTAAGGAACTAGGCTTTTAAGGAAAGTTTCTTTGGTTACATGGGTATTGGTATATGATTTAATTTGAAAAACACTAAGTAACTCGCAATGGAACATCGTCAAATACACATTGCAATCTTATTATTGTATTGATACCTAAGAGATGGTTTCCAGGAAATGAAATCCAGTGGAACACATTTTAAGGTTGGAACGACTTGCAGCAAACAGCGCACTTGGAATGCTTATAACCGAAATTATATTATGGTGATGTAATGTCAAATACGAAAGCTGGCCTTCCGAAATTGTTGGGTGATTTTTATGGCGACTTTACTGCCCGGGACTTTCGAGTTCTTCCAGCAGCCGCAACGATCAATAACAGGTTGAGGAAATGCATTTCAGTCGAAGTTCCTACTGATGATGGGAACCAATTACCATGCTGACAACGAAATGTTTAACTGGTTTAAACCAACCTAAGTCAGCTGACTGAGTTTATCGAACGACTCGAGAACGACGGAACGACTCGACTAACGGAAATGGTATGTTTACGTTGTTATAAAATGTGAATTAACCCAAAATTGCATTCTAGCGTTTGAATCCATTACACTTATCCTGAAATCGCAAAATTATCCCATTTGTTACATTTCCAGCCTGCCACCAAAATCAACATTCGGAAATACCTAAAGCTGGTTAAAGAAGCTACTGGGAGCTTAGAACTGTTCCATTTTTTGCTCTATTCCAATGCACATTTCCGTATACAAGATATGACTACCAAACGAAAGTGAGAAGAGCTGCGCAAAGAAAAAAATACTACATCGATGAAACGATTACCGCCAACAACGAGTCTCCTTAAGCAGTGGCTGTGTGAAAATGGCGCAAGGAAAACTGAAACTACAGAATCCGATGGTACGACGGATTTAATTAGAAGCTTAGTCATCTACATCTCAGAGAGTGATTGGAAGATTTGAGAAATTATGCCATTCGTCTTGCATGCTTAGATGACAAATTTAGATAGGACAATGTTTGGAATCGATAGAAGCACAGGTACAATTGACAGATCTGGTAAGATTTTGATGCCAGTAAGGCACGCACAAGCTTCTTTTGGCGATTCTCCTTTGTTAAACGCTGTGAAAAACTACTCTGAACTAGACGATGATGTCTCATGAGGATGGTGGTTTTGAGTTGATAGAGAAGATGGAACGCTAGTGAACATCCAGGATGTGTAGTGTAATAAGGTTATACCATAGAGGTAACTCTAAGACTAGAAGGTCCCGAAATAACGTGCTCAACTTTTTGGCTCAGCTCTGGTACTATCTTCGGTCCCAAACTAATCGATTCACCCCTCGAAACATAGGAAAAACCAATAACCCGTCACTTTCTTAGCGAATCAAAACAAACATTGCGTAGTACTAGAATTTCGACTAGAAGGGGTACGTTAATCGTTTGCTTGGGACCAATAGGCTAGTCAAGTAGTGAGCCAATTTAAAATCGTTAGTTTCGTATTGATTGTTGGTTATACTTTTTACAGATTAGGTTTCAGCTTCCACGCAGAGAAACAAGGCGTATTATAATCAAATACATTGCATTTTTAATTCAAACTTATGCTGTTTTGTTGATTCACAGAAAAAAATCTTTGTTTCTAATGTATAGCAGAGTTCATTCTACAAAGTTGTTATTACAAACGAAGACCTTGCTTTTTGATTAAAACAAATCTTTTGGAAATGATCTGATTTTTTGTCTATGTGTGGACCACAATTTTATAGAAAAATGGATTCGTACGAGGAAGATGTGATTGAAGAGCTGGAGGTTGAAACGCTTGGTGCAGAATATTTTGAATTATTTAAATTATTGAAATCATTTGGTTTGAGCGAAGCAGTAGTCGGTGCTTTCATAGGTAAGAATATTCTAATTTAATACATTTTTGCCGTTTAAATAATTGAAATTATTTCAGCGAATCGATACACAGTTGATAACTTGAAAGTCATCGAGCGGAAGGAAGTGGAGGATCTTATTCAGCAGCCATTTTTAGCGCAAAGGCAAAGTGCATTCATGCGTTGAATTCATGGAGAAAAAGCCTGGTAAGTGATGTTTAATCTTCAAGTACGCCCAAATCTGATTTCACTTTCTAAATAAACGGAATCTTCCGCTGTTAGCTGATTCAACGTCTTCTATTTTTTTTTCACTTGCGCTTCAGCAGTCAGATGTAACGAGAGCTAACTGTACAGCAACATTTATTTGATACAAACATCCGCAAGAGGCCAAGCAATCCTGAAAAAAATATGAAACAAATAAACATCTTACAAGGTCTGACAAGCGCATCATAACGCAAATCGTGGTCGACGAGTTTAAGGGCCGTTTTTCCAAATTGACTCCCAACGAATTGCAAAGTAGAGCAGTTGAGCTACGTTCACTATTTCCGAGTGAACCACAGGTATTTTTTCAAATGACACTTTTTAATCAACAGTTAAACTAATTTTCAGTTCATTATTTCAAGAGGAACATGGGAAAACGTCATAACAGCTTTCTGTAAACAAACATTTGTAGGCTCTTTTCTTGTGAACCGAAGGTCACTCACGCAAACCAACAACATCATCGGGTAGGGGAAACTTTAACCTTCCGGATGTTGGTTTCCGTTGTGACCTTCGGTTGACGAGAAAAGGGCCAAAGTAAATCAATCTAGGCTGTGAACCATTTGCCGAGTTAAATTTAACTCGTGGTTGAAAGTGACATTTCGAAAGTTATTTTTTATGTTCGAAAATCCCTGTGTTACCAATCGATTGGTTTTCGAGCAGAACTTAGCCACGGTTGCCAAAATTTAACTTCATGTCTGTCAGAAATAACCACGCTCGGATAGTCAGGGTTAATCGATAACTTTCCATCTGTCAAGTTTTAACCAAAAGTTAAAAAAATCCGCCAAATGGTTCAGATCTTTAGATACTATAATAAATATTGTTTGACATCCTGAAAATGATTTTATTTTTTCGATTTCAGCTAATATTAAAAGAAACAATTAAAATGGAAAATAAATCAAATATCAGGTTATTTACATCAATTGTTCCTCTTTTTAGAATCAACAAAATATTTTCTTTGAAACAAAAATCTTTTTTTTTTGTTTCAAAAAGAAGCGCGTGATTGGAACAAAATATATTTGTTTTGATTCAAGAAACGTCATGATAGAATCAAATAAAAATACTGTTGAATTTGCTCACAGTCACATGGAAAGTTGATTCACATTTATTTTTAATTCAAAGAAAAAACTGCATAGGCCCTGAGTCTACAATATTTTTTGTTGAATTCAATGTGATTTATTTTTTTTAAATTAAAAACCATTTCTCTGCGTGTATACTGCATTCAATTAGGAAGCCACATTGTTATGACAATGCCCTTGATTGAAATTATTGGACAACATGAGGATAATCATCTTGTTTGCTTATCGGATGTGGAGATAAAAGACAAGATGAAATTAAGGACGACAGATATTGAAGTGAATCATTCCATCGACGATTGCATATTTGGAGATAAATAAAAGGGCAGTTTGTGCCTATCATATTTGTTTAAAACTAACCGTCCAAATCATAATCTTTGCCTTACAAAATTGTTGAAATAATAATACTTCTGTGCACCTTGTTGGGTTAAAAAGATAAAAAAAAACCTTTTGCATGCAGATTTCAATCTTAAGTAAGTGTCTAAATTAATTTGTTTTATAATTTTGTCAGTTTGAAATTGTGCGTAAAATAATCATCCTACAATTCTAGGGACTCGTTTGACTCAACTTGCTACAAAGCTACTGACAACGAGATGCATATAATAAACACAGTATAATAAGTCTAGCGCCAGTCATGATCAGTCAACGTCGAGGAATGATTACAGTATGACCCGTGACATTTACGTTGTGGATCGTATAGCAGATAAATTGTGTATAGAATATCTTTCGACAATCATCATCAGACATATGAAATTGAAAATCATCAGACAGCACAATCGCCAATCACTGTACACAGACGAGCTATGTCGTTCAATAGATGTTAGAGGAAGAAGAATCATAATACCATAAAACGACGCTAGAGTTTAGTGAACGATCCAAACCCCGTCGTAGAAACGTGGAAGTTGCTTTGGTAAGTAATTTGGCAAAGTTAAAAAATCGTTAACGTTTCAAAAACGAACCATAACATACAATCTTAATCAACCACCATGATGCTGATGTCTGTGTTAGGACAGTTTGATTCCACGATCAACATAAAATCCCTTACTAAAAAGCGACGGGTTTCCGTCCATCTGTTCCACTACTTGAAATTGATGTCTTTGGTTGGGAACCATATTGTGCTGCCGTACTCTTAAGTAATTTTAGTCTAAATTCAATAGTTTTTCGTACCGCAGAACTTCCGTTAATCTAAACGACACTTCGTGCATATTAATGGGGTTAGTTTT